TATTGTGCCATCAAGCAATTATGATTAAAAGAATGAAACAAGAAAATTGCAGCAATATCTTTTCGAAGTGCAAGCAGATGAACAATTAAAAAGTTAATAAGTATTGTATAATCATGGTAAGCAAAAGCAGCAGGATTAACGAACCCTCACACTACAGTATTAACTAAAACACAAAACATAAATCACAAATTTGTAAACAGAGAAGTATGAGGCGCCCAAAGGCAAAGAATAAGAAAATCCATCCATCACAATGCTCTGTTTTTTTATGAAGTAATTGATCACTACCTATTAGACAATATAGGAACTGAAGAATAGTTAAAAGTATTGGAACCGAATGCTATTGGTTCGCATAAACTGAAGCAATTGCATCCAAATCCTCTAACCATCATGGCTAGAAAATGGACAAATGATTTATGAAACATACAGATTAGCTGATGTCATTTAAAGTTTTCAATGAACAATATGTGAGAATCACGAAAACAACGTACCTTTATAGTTGCAACAAGGCCCAACCTGGATGAAAAATAGCTGCATCAGTTTAATTATTACTTTTTTAACTCAGACAATTGGAGACCATCTAAGAGAATTTTAAATCTTTCGAAATTCATATACGTGTTTATTTTTTCCAGTAAAGGGAATATAGAATTGAGTAAGGGATTGCGACGAAAGTGTCCGTGTTTCTTGTTTCTATATAAATCTCTGGCGTGGAAGAAATATACATATCTAACGATTATATGATTGAATATCTAACTCGAGTTTATAGATTGTATACTTAACTAGTTTCATGCGAACAAAGATGGTCAGCAGTTTGTTGAATGGATTCTTACAATTGACAGTGTTCAATCATACTTAAGATATTATAGTAAAGAACACCAAGCAAGCCCCACCAAGAAAAGCTATTGCTTATACATCACATCATCCTAACACACACCTCATCCAGTAAAGAACAATCAACATCGTGAAAATGGACAAGGGAACCAAAAAAACACCTATATTGATCCTATGATATAAATTATTATTTTAATTTCTTCAATAATCATACTTTTAACCGATAATGACAAAAACAAAATATGGGCATTTCAAACCATTGAAAATGATAATGAAGATAAGGTGGCAAACTCTCTCACACTGTGGGCATAGGGGATATAACTTATATGAGAGCGTCTCAACATCTTTTACAAAAACATCATTTATTCAGTAAAACTTAGCTTTCAAACTATTGTGTTTGAATAGAGAGGTTCCTTTCTCACACTTCATCACAGTGAAACGCCGGTTGCGGGTTGTCGTTAGCGACATGCGAACAGCAATAACACGAACAACAATAAACAACTCGAAGCTCGATTAACCCGATTGTGCTGTCATTATATTTGGTCTTAATTTAACTTCCATTGATCATATTGTTCTTGTTGTGAATCAACTTTCAACAAAAAATCATCAAAATCTACGCGAGTGTGGTTTTCAGGAATTTGACATAAAACACAAACACAGCACAACAATGTCACGCCTAACTCATGAAAATTGATGATCCAACCACCACAAATTCCCCAAGGACTGAATAAATTAATTTAATCACGAAAAAAACTGATTTAAAAAA